ACTCCTCCAAAGGAGCTTTGGGCAATTCTGTGAACAACTGATCTATGTGAAATCTATCAATTGGTCTTTTAATTCTACAATATCATAGAACTCCTCAATATGAACATTTATGCATTTTCCTTACTCCTTCCCCAGACACTGGATAAAACATTTTCAGACATGACTGTGGCTGCTCTTGGTGGGATACATGAGTGACAAATCAGAACTTGTAAGGATAACCTAGCCAGGAGCAGGGGCTGGAATACCTGCTTTAGCTTCTAACTTAAAAATGTTTGCAAAGAACAAACTGAAGCTTGGCTGCCTGCTTTGTTATTGCCGTGTTAAATGCGAGTTTAATTTTAGTTATTGACAGTACATCAGATGGTACTTCCTCTTTATGTGGAGCTTTAACAACTTGTTCTGGAAAATGATGCAATTTTCCTGTGGGTTTTTTTTTTTTCTTCTTAAAAAATGAGATGCAGTTGTTCTAACAGCCTCTGGCAATTTGGAGAGGAACATGCAGGTGGAGTTTGCTTTGCACATGTTCCTGCTGTGTGCAGGGGTTGTTTACTGCTCAGCAGAACAAATTGCTGAGTGTCCTTCTGGAGGTCTCGAACAGTTTAGCAGAGAAATCAGAAATTAACTTGCAGGGACTGTTGTTTTTCACTACGTGTGAAGTCAAACAAATAGTTTGTGAAGGGTCACTGCCTGCTGCTCCCACAGAACCTTGCAGGAAAATCCCTTCTGGCATTATTTCTACAGAGGTCTGCATTGTTTCCTACTCAGATCAAGATGAAGGAATTTTCTAAGTGCTTATACATTTGCTGATAATCAGTCTCCATAGCAGAGGTCCGCACAATTTTCTTCCCTTTCATATATGATTTGGTTGAACTGTTTATTGCGGGGTATTTTTGTCTTCCCATTACTTTTCTGGTTTGGTGGTTTTTGTGGGGTTTTTTTGTGTGATTTTTTTTTTGTTTGGGTTTTCTTGTATGTGGGTTTTTTTTGTTTAATTTTTGTTTTATTTTGTTAAGGGATGCCAGTCTCAGAGAGGTTAGAAACAAATTATACTGTACTTCATAGTCAGAACAGGCTGGTTCTGTCATTTTGCTAAGCTTTATGCAACAAGAGAGACACTATTTGAGGATCATACTGTCTGCAAATATTGAAATGTTATGCTTTCATTTTTTTAAACCAGGTAATACCCAAAGTTATTTTGGTTGAACATGGCTAACAGAATAAAAACCAATTTTCTCTTTTCTGTCCTTCTATACAGTTATTTTAACTATTTCCCCTGGAGAGTTACTTACATATTTGAACTCCAGTACCCACAACTGGAAATGTTGCTGTTACCCCAGGACCAGAGTGTGGGACTCCTACCCTCAGGAGCTGGGTGTGTAAATAGAACATGGTGGCACTTTCTGTAAAATGGGGATCAGGCAAAGACACAATAAATAAAACAAAGAAAAGACACAATAAACTCAGCTTTCCTGAGGCTGCACTGTGGGTGTGAGAGATTTCATCTTAGGAGAGGGATGTTTTACAGCCCCCCTGATCCAGCCATTCCTCACAGACACTCTGATCTGTTGGGATCAGCCAGGCTGTTCCTGGAAAGGAAAGGGAACTAGTTAAAAAACAATTCAGGAGAACACTTGTGACTACAGCTACAGCATGTGTTTGGAGGATGTTTCAGCCCCACTCTGAAGAGATTAATCTGTGGGAAGCTCCAAAACCACAGAGAATAAAGGATGGTACAGATTCCCCAGCCTGGAGCTGCTGACCTAATCAGTGACTCCAGTGTGCCTGCTGATCCCTGGTGACAGCAGGGCACATGATCCAGGTGTCACCCCCTGACATCCAGAACTCCAGAATAACTGCACTCCAGCATCCCTGTCCTGCAGTGCTGGCCAGGGGCACTTGGCCTCGAAGAGGTGCTGGAGCTTCTGCAGGATCAGCACTCACTGCTGCAGCTGCTTGGAAACAACCTGTGGGCAAAGTCAGCCTGTCATAGGAGACATCAGTGCTCTGAAACTTTGAAATAATCCAGCAGGATTCTGTTATTATGATGTGAAAATCCCCTGGGAGTGATCAGACACGAGGTCAGCTTCTCTGAAGGGTTTGTTACTGAGGTTAGCCATCGCAGACATCCTGCTGGAAGCTCGCTGGGGTCGGATGAATGTGACAGAAAAGTTTGGATATTGGTTTAGAGGTGACAAATTTGAAAGGACTTGTTAGATGTATTTTGGAGGTGAGTGGCCTACAGTAAGAACACAAGATAATAATTAACAGGAGTAAAATAAAGTTAATGTACAGAGGGAAAAACTATTGTGTAGCATAATGAGGAAGAGAATGCTGGAGTTCTGTGGAACTTGATAATTAAACCCTTGCTGGAGGGGGATCTAGAGAGCCCCCACATCTTTGTACAGGGGATACATGTCTTACAATATTTATTGGAATTCTTCAGAAGTAACATGAGTTACATTTTTTTTTCTGTCTTTAAACAAGAAATAAACTTCTGGCCAGTGGTGCTAGACCTGAGAAAGGTGTCAAAGAAGCACCAATGACAGAGATTTTATGCTTAATTTCCAAGCAGGAGTGTTTATTCTCAGAGACTTTCCAGCCCATTTGGATGAAGAGCAATCTCTCCAGATGGCCACACTCATTTGTTCAAGGGCTGGAAAGCAAATTCCTGTTCTTGAATGTTTCAGTCATATTGTAGATGAATTAATGAGATTAAAAGTAATGCCTTGTTCAAGTCCTTAATTTCCCTTAAGGGGTTTCTTAGAACACAGAATGAGGTCTGGCTTTCCTGTTCAGCTCTTTGTTGGTTGCTGCCACTGCTGTTACCCTCCTCCTCAAAACAGATGGTGTTGCTTTCCTTCTGTTGAGTCCAATTTGACCACTTTTGTTTATCATACAAACCTCTTGAGGCTTTTATTCAATCTCTCGGGAACTTTAAGTCTGATCCTGCAGTCTTATGCAGTTCATGTATTAAAATTCAGATTAGGAATTGAATACATTTTGCTGTTTCATTTAATTTACCATTAAGCTTTAATTTTACATTTTCCTATTTTGTTCTGGTTGATACAGCTTCCAAACAGGTTTCTCTGCTCTTAAAGCTCATTCAAAATCAGGTTATCTTTAGTTTACCCCCAAAAAAATATTGGCATCAACATAAAAGTATGGTATTTATGTATGAATGCCGTATTTATATCACTTATAAATATAATATATGAAAATATATTGACTTGCAAAATGTATGTGCTTAACCTTAGGCATATTGATTTATTTCTTTTTTTGCTGAGATTTCCAAGTAGAACATACTAACTAGCTTCTGGCTCAGTATGAAATACACACATGTGACATTCAACATTAGAGCTGGGCAAAATACCTGTAGTAAAAGACTTATTCATTGCTCTAAGGAATGAAAGAATCAGAAGGAAATAGAAAGATAGTGAAATCTTTTGCAAAAAGAAATAACAGGCCCCACTTTTGTGCATGTATACCTGGCTGAGGAATAAATTATCTGCTACAATATAATATCCTTTATTTATGAATTTATGGGACTCCATATGGAAAATAAAAGACAATTACAAATCAACAAGGAGGAATTGTGGGCACAAGAATTTAATGAAAAAGAAATCATTGCAACTTTTGTTGCATTGTTAAATGAACATGAGCAGAACAGTTGTCAAAAAGAAGTTATTCACTCCTAAAGTATTCTTGACTAAATGTTAATAGTTCCTTTCCAATAGGAATCCTGGGAAATTTGTGTATTACTAAGTTGCCTCTGCAGAAATTAGGATGAGATCTGGGAAGTGTTGATATAGAAATATCTAGATGGAAAACAGAACAAGTGCAAGAAGTCTGCTGCTTCTGTGCACAAAGGAGGCTGAGAAGGTTCACAGACACTTGCACTTAAATTCTTATTTAGAAATAGCTTTCTGCTCTTTCTTCATGTGCTTGTCTGTCCAACTATAATTATCCATCCTCTTTTTTCTCCAATTACATGCTGTATAATGTTTAGCAGCTATTCCAAGAAGCAGCTTATTCCTGTGTGACAAGATTTAATTAAACTTCCACTGAAATAATTAGTGAGGGTATCTCAAAAGGCTTTTTAAAATCAATGCAGTACTGAGAAGCAAATAGAGTTAACACTGTCATCAAAGATCAAAGTCACCAAAGAACGTGACTGAAAATTAAACCTCCAACAACAGTGTAATGAAGAAGCATACTGAAGCAGTTGTGATTTTCTGCCTCTTGGGTCCTACCTACAAATTGATTTGACATGGAAAATTTCCCTCAGGAAGCTTAAAAATAGTAAATTTCCATTAATTACATAGCAAAGAATGTTCTTTCTATAATTTATAATCCATTAGGTTGTTTTTTTTTGTTTTTTTTTTTAATTTCGTTTTTGTTGCCTCTTGCTCCCTTTATCTGGGTTTTCTGCTTTGCCAGTAGAGACTGGCTGGAGGTTGGTTTGGGTGGTTGTGTTTTCTGTTGCATCATGTAGCCAGAGGCACAGAAAAGGAGCTGAACAGAGTAAAGTGCCCAAGGCCTGTGATTCCTTGGGCACACCAGGAATCCCAGGCTGCAGACACATGCTTGAGGATCTCAGAGCTCTGGACTCCTTCAATCAGGACACTCTTATCCCTCTGTGGGGAGCAATTTGTATGATGAAGCAAATCCTCCCTCTGCCAATGTGAATTAGGGGTTGGTTGATTTTGCAGGAGGTAGATGAAGGTGCCTTACTCAGCAGCACAGGGTGCACTGCAGTTCCTGCCCTCGCTCCCACCCTGTGCTCAGCTGCTCTGGGAGGCTGCTGGCCACGCTCAGCATCTGCAGAGCTGCAGGAACCAGTGGGGCACAGTTTGCTCTCCCCTTGCTCTGGCAGGAGAGGTTGCTCTAGTGAAGGTAACTGCAGAAGGAAATGCTCAAAAACCTTCTCTTCTAGTTTGCAATATGGGCATTTTTTTTTTCCTTGGGCATTGACATTTTATGGCTCCCTCTGTCATTTTTAGGCACCATAATGCACAGTGAGCTTCTGGAGTTCACAGCTGTACAACACCACCTAAGCCATCAACTTGGCAAGATTTTAAACTGGCCTTTTATACACGTGCAGGATTCTTCAGAGCCGCAGCATGAAGTGTGGAAAAGATGAATTTGGCAAACAGCACAAACACCATAGCCTCAGGTCAGCAGGCAGTGGTTCATGAGGGAACACTTCCCTGCAGCAGGTGGGGAAGGAGAGCTCTGCCCCATCCCTGTGGGACCCCAGGGCAAGGCTGCAGCCTGGGCCATCCTGCAGGAGCACCCCCATGCTGTGACCTCCTCCTCCCTCCAGCAGTTTGTTATTGTGCCAACAGCTGGGACAGCCGCTGAATTTCTGTAGTATTTCTGTCTGAATCCCTCTGATTTACACTGCCTGATGGTAAGGAGTGCATCCCTGGGTAGAGATGTGATAAAAATATCAAGAGCTCCAAGAGAGAAGGGGTTTAGTGGGTATGTGCTATATGTCACAGGTTTGTCATCGCTTCTGAGCTGTGCTGTGCTTGGGTTGAACTGTGAAAAGCTGAATAATTTATTCAGAAAGTTATGCTAACTCAGTATGGCAGTGAAACACTGAAGATTAATAAATAATTAATAAAAACATTTATTCTGCAGCCACGTCCTTGTGTGAGTCAGTCAAACCTTACTGAATATGTCGAGCATTCAAATGCAGTTTTCTGTGTCTGCAGGATCAGGATTCCTTCAGTATTTCTGTTCTGCAGAAAAATAATTCCTTTAAAGCCTCCTTAAGAATTTCAACTAAATAATTAAAATCAGGAATAATAAGCTATGTTTTTGATACATGGATAGGTATTTAGGTATGTGGGTTTCTATATCTGTAGGTATATAAATAAATAGAATTGAGGCCAGTCTGTAAGCAGTAGGAGAAAGCTGGGACTAAGTACAGTGAAGTACAGTCCAAGTAGAAGTGGTAGAAAGTTACTGCAATCTAATAATATTTTTCCCCAGTGACTTAGCACCTTCAGAGCAAGTCAGTGCTGGAAAATGGCTAAAAGGCTGGGTTTGGCTTTTGGTTTTGAAATGGGCATGAAACTGCAAAAACTTCAGCTTAAGAATTGAAGTTGTAGTGACGTGTTGTTAATGTGCAGTGTTATATGTTATAGTTACTTTTCACACCCTGCTAAATGCCTTTGACAAGGACAAACATATTTCGTAATAAAGGATAGTAAAGGGAAGGCTTGAACCTCTTAAATTATCATTTATATCATGATATTCCAGTGATTACATTTTGAGGGGCTCTGTCTTCAATATATGTACAAGGGTAAATCAAAGCATTGACTGATGAGATGAGTATTCAGCACAACTCCCATGCAACATGGGACTGACAGTGGAGAAAAGAATTGCTCATTTTTTGAAGGTAAAAACCTGATCCTGTTGAAAAGCCTTACCTGCTGAGAATCCTCATCCACATTCATAAATTTCATTGTATTCAAGCAAGGGAGGCCTGTGGTGCGTTCTCTTTGAGAAATGAGATGTACTTTTAAAATAGACACTTTAAATATACTTCTGAACTAACCCTACGTAATATACCTTATGTCTATATGTCTATGGCACCACAATAAATTATTATTTTAAATATACAATCAGGTCTTTAGATATTTTTACTTCTGTCTACTTAGAATGATTATTTTATGGTCATCTGCAGTCTCATGCAGAAAAATAACCCTGGTGCTTTGCAATTTATTTTTTTCCTAGGTTCTCTGCTGAAATGTTTAGGTATAGGGTCTAAAATGGGTCTTCTGACAGTAATAATTAGACAGGATGAGACCACAGAGGAGAGGAGAGGAGACTTGGTATTTACAAAATAATGAAAATGATACCTGTCTAAGTAAGGATGGGAAAAGGATTTAAAGAAAATTTGTCTTCTCGCTTCCTAATTTCTGAAGTATTGTGGGAGAATGTGGCAGTCACCCCTGTAATCAAACTTGATTGATGTACAGATAGCCACAGTGTAGTGCTCATTCATTACATATATATATAACAAAAACATTTTCTTAAATGCCCCTTGGATAATTAAATAAGTATCTTTGCCAAAGCAGGCTTTGAGATAATGTCCTGGGAGGCTATCATCAATTCCAGCAGCCATAATCATCATCCCAGAGAATGGAAATACACTTAATCAGAAAACCATGCTACTCTGTGAATGAGCAAGGGAGGTGGCCTGCAGGCCTTTTATCAGGCTGGATGAATAAATAAATGTTTCCAGTGAACTTGTCCCTTTAGTGCTGAGAGTTGAGGATTGCTCACGGAGCCAAGGAATGCTGAGGTTTGTGGATGGCAACTGTGTGCAGTGCTTGGAGTCAGCTTGGTTTCCCTGGGTGATGCTGCTCAGTAAATGAATATTCTTATTTAAGGGTGATCTTAAGGCAGTTACAGCTCCATGAGGAAGCACTGGAAATATTGCACTTGTGTTAAAGTGTAAGAGTGGTTTCAACTGAGTGAGCCACAGTGCTGGGCTGGAGCACCCAGGACATCCCATTTGCTGCAGCTGGTTGTCTGCAAATTTTGGAACATTTGAACCTAAATCTCTGGGTGATTTTATTTTCTTGTTCTTTATATTTTTTTTTTCCTCTTTCAAGCTCTTGCTCTCAATACTGATGTTGGTATCTGTCAATTTAATTTCTTTGCTGCAAATACCTTGCATAATAGCTTACCATAGCGTAAATGTAATGATTTGTTACATTTTTACACTGCCAGAAGTTTACCTGTCTGGGACCACAAGTCTGATATTGCTTATTAAACCAGTGTCTTCATGACATAAAGCAAAGAAGCACTAAAAATGCAAGAGCTCAGTTGCTCCAGGCAAGAGATAATGGTGCACACACAGTGGGAGGGAAAGGTCTCCCAGGGAACGCTGAGGCAGCTCAGGTCACTGAAGGCAGAATAAGCATTCCAGCTTACAGTGCTTCTGACAGGAACATGCCTGAGAGTGTCTCAAATTCACATCTGGTTTGCCAACTGTTAAAGTGTGGGATACAGTGTGGGATGCCTGAAGGGAAGGAGATGCAAACCAGAACAACCTCTGACCACAATACAGCAGGATTTGGGATTTTTGCATAAAGTGCTCAGGTTGGACACGTCACACAGCATATGTCTAGGCAGTCTGTGGCTGATGAAAGAGCCTGTGCATGTTAGAGATGAGCGAGTTAAGTTTTAAAAAATAGAGACTGAGACGTGAGCAGACGAAGACAAGGCATGATCAGTGTATATCTTCTTCCAAAAAGTTAGCTGTAGGGAAAATATAAATCGTGGTGGGTAAGTCTGAGATGACATAAGGCTGTTGTCAGTCACCTGGTGAGGCTGCTCCTAGAACAGCTGCTCTGAAGAGAGCTCCTTCCCTTTGTGTTCCTCTGGAGCAAATCTTTGCACATGCTCTTGATGGCTGCTCTGTAGAGGTTTCTTCTGAGCCCATCTGCCACTGGCAGAGATAGATGGTGGGGAGACTGTGGGGGAGGTGGCAGCACTGTTTTAGCAAGCAAAACTTAAAACCATTTTATTTTGATTAATAAAATGTGTGTCTTTATGAATAATGGAACAAAGAGAGAGACTGACTATCTTTCTGCTAATTCAATCATTCCTTTTTCCTCTCCCCCAGAAGCTTTTAGCTGAAGAGGGGAAAACATCCACAGGTGAAAAGTGAAACTTCTTACTATTTGGTGGCCTCCAAAGCAAGCATCTGTAGGCAGAAGATATATTGCCACGGTACTATTTAATAAGTAAAATGAAACATGAGTCTTTTGATTTAAGGGGCTTTAGAAGAGTTCATAACTCTGGGGAGGTCATCATCCCTGAGCTCTTGATCCATTGCTCTGTTTCCTGTGGGAACCAGCAGAAGGAAGTTCATCCTGATGAGTCTGCTTTGTGAGAAGGTAATCCTTTGCTACCACCTGGAGACAGGTGCAGGAACAAGGGGCATGGGGCATCTAGAGACAGTGTCTAAAAAACTCATTTAAAGAGATGAGCTAACTGTAATGCAGAAAAGGAAAAGCAGGGTGCCTGAGGGACTGGAGTTTGTGTGTATTGGCAGTGTCGTGTAAAAGTGTGAGAGAATGTGCACTTCCAGACTTGGAGAAGCAGATGGGATGGAAAGTGAGATTGTAATTGTTGTCATGTTGTGGGATGTTTAACGTGTGGATGAAATTTTCATGAATTAGTTTATCCTTAGCAGTAAACCTTTTAAAAACACTTTTCTTGGTGAGCCCCATTTCCAGTATGCAATGGAAGTTCCAGAATAAAGTTGAGGGGAAATGCCATGCTGAGCACAGCTAATGTTTGACTGACAGCAGTGATAAAGAGCCAGGAAACTCTGTTTATGCATGAAAATTGTCCTTCTGGCTTTAGTTACTTTAAAAAAAGTGTTTTTCAAAATAGCCTAAGAAGTCTCTTTTCCCAGCACTCTATGGAGTTTATGTTGCAGCCTTGCACTGAAGATCCAAACCCATAGAGAAGAGCACGTTATGTGAAATAATTGGAAAATGGAGCTTTGTGAAAATGTCATTTGAAGCAATGTGGAATTGGCTGGTTGCCTTCCATTTGCTTCTAAGTTCTCCAATTGTTTAAATACCACCTTTGTAACAACACTGCCATTCACTTGACAATTTGTCTTTTCATTCCTGATAATATGCATGTCAGATACAAAAATAGCCATTCTACTTGTGATCATCAAACTTCAGCTGAATTTCAGACAAAGAATTTGGCAGATCTCCAGATAAAATATTACCGAGCAGCTCAAGCAGGCATTAGTATTCGTTGCTTACACACTTTGTGCTTTGAAATCTCTATTGCTTCTGGTGTGTTCAAAAATAACAAGCTATTGTTCCCCTAAAACACGATTTGAAGTACATCTGAATGGAATATTGCATTATTTTTGCATGGGGATGTGTCTTGTGGAACAACAAAGACTAAATGTTGTGGTGCAGGGGGGTTTTACAGACCACCCCAGCTGCCTGCAGCGGTTTGCAGGGTGCTAGTGTGGCTCCAGCTTGGCCAAGAGCCAGGGAGGCTGTCCTGGCTCAGTTTGGAAAGGAGGGCTGGGGCTGGCACATCTGTTTCCCTGGCTAGAGCTGTGCCTGTGCAGGACCCAGCTGTGCGTGTCACTGAGGGGAGAAGCGCGAGGCTGCGCTCTGTCTCCAGAGTGAAAACCTGGCCATCCACTGACGCCATGGAAAAGTTCTTGCCTCAGTCTCATCCCAGGCTGTGGCCAGAGGAGTGAGCTCTGTTCACATAAATCAGTTTGTCTAAAAGCATGTGCTCCTAGCCAAGCACGCACCTGTCTTGCGGCTCTGATGGGATGAGTTGTGTGCTTAAGTTACTCAGGCGCTGGAGAGGTTGGAAATCTGGTACTTGGAATTTCAGTCTTTTGCTCTTTTAAGACACTCTTGGTTTCTCTGTCTTTAAATTCTTTAAAATGTAATTCCTGATTGATGATTAAATGATTTAATGAAATTAGAGCAATATCCATTTTGGATAAATAGAATGCAGCAAAACTCTCTGGGTAAAGTTTAGGAAAGCTGTG